AAGCCGACTTACATATGAATGATTTTTGAAAAATATGGTACAAGTCATTTACCCCATATCACACTGTTGATTATTTGTGGATACCCGATGGGCCCATCGGGTATCTACAAATAACCAACAGTATGATATGGGATAACTACTACTTACCTTTGAGTGTGATGTTGATGCCCCTAAAACCAATGTGGACCCCGATATCGGCAGTAATCTCCCCTGATGAGCCAGCCTTGTATTTTGTTCTTACATTGGTGGCTTCTGCAACCTCCCATTCGGTGCTGAAGTTACATACTAAAAACAGAGAATTTGGTCCTTCTTTTTATGTTCATATTATTCTTTTTTGAAAGAAAACTTGGGCGTAGAAGCCTTTGAAATGCCGACAGTGGTAATAATAAAGATTTGAAAAAAAATCATCATTATATATATGATTAATGCAAAATCATTAATGTTGAACTGTGCTTCATAAATCAGTTGAAAGAATTAGAGTTTTACGTTCAATGTTAATATAAAATATTTCAGTGTTAAAAACAAAAATTTATTCTTGTACTTCATTGAGACTGTCTAATCAATTTTCCCCATAACACAATATCAATAAATATTAATAATTCACACTTTTTCATGAAGATGACATATTTTTAATTTTTATTAAATATCTTGTAAACAGACATCGTTTTAATTAAAGTAAATATAATCAAACTCACACACTATGACCCCTCCAATATAAAGCGTCAATGCTAAGCGAATGAACGTATATATTCTCTAAAAAAATAAATGATGCAATGAGAGCAAAAAATAATATTTATAAGACCATTTACAAGTATAAGACAGAAGTTTTTGGCTTTAAAATGTTATAAATATTTCTATTGAAACCAACCTCTTTCCCACGAATCCCAGGAAGGATGATAAAGAAAGAAAAACCTAAACTAAGAAATGCATAAATTAATCCAGCATCCAAGATGTCCGCCATCCAAGGCGTTTTGAAGGACTCGTAGTAGGTCGGACCGCCATTGGACCGGAAGGCGTCAAAAAGTCCAGGGGAGTTCATGTTAGCTCTGCTTCAAAATCCTGATCAAAACTATTAATAATGAAAATAGAAGCAAATATATTTTATTATGCTTCCGTTATCGAAGATTCGAAGGGATGTAGTTTATGCCATGCCCGTCCGTCTCTTTGTCTAGCTATCTCTTTGACCACAAAAACCTTTTAACCGTGCCAATAACCTTTGATTGGTTGGTGCTTGGGCTTATATTTTTACGAGTGTATTCCACTGAAGAAGACTTTTATTGGGTACCAACACATTAGCTTCTTGACCTTAGCCTTCGAGTTTGATCCACTTTCGCAAAAAATTCCAAAGTTTAATCTAAGCCATAACTTGTAAAACAGTTGGTGCTAGGGATTTCATGCTTCATATGTGTATCCATTGTATCCAAAGCCTTTTCTTGGATATAAATGCTTTTCACCTTTTAACTTTGATCCTAACTTTTCCTTTCACCTTTGCCCTAACCCCTGAATAGTTAATACTAAGGCTTTCATATTCCACGGGTTTTTTCCTTGTAACAAGGTCTTTTGGGGATACCATTTTTAATGTTTGACATTGGAGTTTGATTTACTTTTGAAAAAAAAAAAAACAGTTGCCTTGGTCATAACTTTTAAACAGTTGGTACTAGGGTTTTTATAAATACATAATTATACCTCACATACAATGTGCGTTTCATATGAAAAGACACTCTCTTTGACATCAATATATTTTTGGCACACTTTTAAAATTTGATCTTGGAATATAACCCACTTACAATGAAACGCATTGAAGTGGTAAAATTTTCTGTTTGGATGGAACGTTTTGAGCTATCTTTAGACACGCCCATTTCTTTAGAAAGGAGAAATCGGTCAAATGATTCAATCGAATACCTGTAGAACAGGTTTTTCATAAATATAACATCCAATGAAATTGACGGTTTACATAAACACCGAGTAAGCACGTGTTCGACTGATACATGTGCTATGCTAACTCCAATAAGCATGATAAAATCATAATTATGTACAAATTCGTTGCAATGCGTGTTTTACATAAGCGAGAACTCTATACATAGCTCTTTCTTATTCTGAAATTCCTCATTCAGTGTAACTCATGTTGCTTGTCGCGGAAAGTGTTGTGTCCTAAAACATTACGATGAATATGTCTTTCTCGTTTCTAAAGAAATGGGCGTGTCGTTATGTTATAATTGACGTTCAAAACATGACTCAGAACTTTTCGTCCAAAAGGAAAATTTTACCACTTCAATGCGCTTCATTGTAAAAAAAGAAATTTAACCCTGGCCATAACTTTTGGTCGGTTGGTCCTATATTTGGATAATATTTTTGATCTCTTGACCTTAGAGTTTGCATATGTCTTGTTTTCGCTTTAACTTTTTGTTTACTCAACCGTGATTCAATGAATTGATGATAAACTGAGAATAGAGTCTGACCTCCCACTATAAATAAGAAATTAATGTCTATTTTTGAGTATTTTATTATATATAAAAACTGGAACATATTATATTTTACAATAAGAACTTTATGTATTAGCAATAATCATTGTCAGATTGTTCTTTAACCAATACTCATACTAGACATTTATTTTTGATTAACCCAAAATTTACCCGTGTATTGCTAGTATAATTTACAACAATATAAATTGGCAATTGCATGCCAGTTGATTATCAAATAACAAGTCCTTCTGCCACCGATCAATATATGCAATGTTATTAATATGATTGAACTATATTTCATAGGGAAAAAAATACATGTAAATGGTTAAAGGAAGGATAAAAATATATTTTTAAAAAATATTAGAGTCGTTGTTACTTTTAACATACATCTAAAAATTTTGAACGTCCTTCAAAACAATCCTTCCTCATCGACGAGATAAGCTTCCGTAAAAATCAGGGTTTTTTTCTGGAGGAAAGGAAATGAACTCACAACTTTGATCGTAACATCGGATGTGTGATCGTGCAGCATTTGTCTTCACTAACCAAGGTTTACTATCTGATCCAACCCTTGGCTGTCCAAAATTTAGCTGTGTTTCTACGTCTCATTTTGCAAAATATTTTAAGAAAGTAAGAGTATGAAAATTATTTTAAGGATTATGCTAAAGCTTCTGAATATTCCTATCAAAAGTGTTTCTTAACTCCAACGTACCTTCAACCAAAAAATATTGTACTTCCATGCTTGATAAAAAACACCCAAAAATCTCATTTTAAAAAGGATTTCATAGCATTAAATATTGTCCTCCTTAAAAAAGGACGTTTTTATTTAGGTTTGTTGCTTGCTACAAATCAAAGCCTTGTTTTCACATCCGGTACTGCAGAAATAATGAAGGTTCTAATAAAAGTATTTAGATCTATAGACCGGTTTGTTACTAACTTAACCAGAAGTAACATCTGAAATTACAAAGTTTTTGCAATCATAGGCACTTGATTTCAGAATAGTGTATTTTTACTATGTCTGAATACATCTACTAAAATAAAAATCACTGAAATTAGCCCTTTTTAAAATATCGTTTAACTGTATATAAAGACTTAAATCGCTATAAAATTACCTTTTTTTATTTTAAAAAACCTAACTACTTTATAGAAAAAAGACATTTTATATATAGTTTTTTATTTGATATTTTTTTAAGGGTCAAAGATATTTTTTTAATGAGTGTATTCGGACATTCCTTAATCACATGCAGCAAGAACTTCCCATACTGGGGATTTTTTAATGCACAAGCATTTTCTAAAAACTATATTATTACGTGTGCAACGGCAAAAACATAACTTCAAAGCATTGTTCACACTTAGGCAAAAACTTATTTTTTAAATCCCTATTTTAAAAAAAAACATACCTTTAAAAATTTTGTTCCTTTAAATAAGGAAAAAATACTTTTTTCTCTGAAGTAAACTACATCAAAATGAGGAGACTGTTGATTTTATCCGCAGCTTATGATGCAAACGGAAGTACATGTACTTATCTTATGTAGTATTTTTTTATTTTTCAAATACATTGTCTAAGATTTTTTCTTAAATATATAGGGAATGGCGCGAGACTTGTCAGTACTCATTACATGTAGATATAAAAACCAACAACAAATAGGATTAATTTAATGAAATAAAACAAAATATAGGTTATTGTACATTAGGAAATGATGATTTCTTATCAGCCGGAAAAAGTGTAAAAGTTAAATTTTCATACATGTATAAATTTATATATCGAAAACAGCTTCTCTTCACAACTAATGCATCTCCGACAATATTCTTTTTCAATCGAGCCGACAGATTAAACTCCCTGCATAGAAAGGTACGTACAAAATATAAGATATCTGTAAAAAATCAAAAATATTATTTCATCATAACAGGGAATTGTTTGCAAGCGAAGCACAGGTCCGTGAAGCGTAGGGGGTGGTTGGACCCTCCAATAATTTTGCCAACATTGTTGAGCTCCCCCCCCCCCTCCTCTCCCAAATGAAAATGCTTCATAAACAAGCCTAAATAATGTCATAATTTCTTAATGTCCATTTTTTTTAATCTTGCGGAGCCAAAACTTTCAATGATTCGACAATACTTGAAAACCTTTTTTTCAATATTATTTAATTAAAGTGCCTGAATATGCTTGTTTGTGTTGGATTGAAGAATACTACGAGGCGCCGTTTTTGGTATTTACTGCCAAAATGTGATATCACATATTCGAATAGGGATATCAATTATTTGATATATCACCTATTCGAATAGGTTACATCACTTATTCGAAAAGGTGATATCACCTATTCAAATTATTTATGAAATAACAACAGCTCCCAAGGGTTTAGGTTTTTAAATCTCATTTATTTTCACTTTCGTTTTTATAAAGTTCTCATCGTTCTAGGAGACAATGGATTAATCATTACAGCTTTGCATTTAGTTCAAAGCTGCCCAGCAGAACTTGTAGTTTGGTTTGCTAACAAATTAATTTATAACACTTAGCTATCGTGTATACTATAAAAAAAATTAAAATTCTGAAAAACTTATGATAAATAATCTATAGAGAAAATGCCCCTAAATATTATAAAGAGTGAAAGGTACCGGTATGCCATTGTGTTGTACTCCAGATGGGAATTTTTTTTAAAGAAGATAGGTGAATAAGGCGGGCAGAATGCCTATAGTGCGACAGATAAGAAGTGAAAATTTTAATCTCAATTGAATCCAAATTTTACTGGATATTTCATTTAATATTAAAGTATACTTAATGTAAAATCTCTACAATTTACCAAAATCTTTCAAAGACTGAAAATATTTGCTGATGAAAATGCTTACACACACTAAAAAGAACAAAAACGATCATTTTCTCATACTTAAACAATTTTTTTCAATATGAGTGGGTCTTCTCTCCATTTTTTTGAAAGATGATCCTAAGAGTGTGCTATAAAATACACGTTTTTTGGTTTTCAAAATTATGGAGCGAAGACCCACTATACTTTAAAAGTACAATTTTATGACACAACATTAGCATCTTTCCGAGAAATACTTCAAGTCCATTAAGTCGCGGGTCATATCACAAACATGATTTAAATGCCTAAAATCACCATAACGGTGTAGCATGGTGGTTAACGCGTTAGTCTCAAAGCAGTATGCTATTGATACGTCGGATTTTTATTGCTAGGGTTCGAATCCCAGGAGTACCATCTAATAATTTTATGAAAGAAAATTTTTTACGAGATTTTTTCTCTCTCAGAAAAGTTTTTTTCCCGCATAATTTCAAAAAATTCAATAATTAGAAGTTAATTTAAATAATCAATTCAAATTTTTAATATGATTTCTTAATATCTGACGCTATAGGCATTCTGCCCGCCTTGTTCACCCATCTTCTTATATAAATTAACAGGGACCCGTAACATAAGGAATTTATAAAGTCTTGGACTAAAATAAAGGTGTAAACTACATTGTACGCAGTCACAATTTTCTTGGTTACAGTGGAATTCTAGATAGTCTAGGGAGTATTCATTGAATAGGTGATATCACCTTTTCGAATAGGTAATATCACCTATTCAATTTGAATGAGTGATGTTACTTATTCCAATAGGTGATATCACCTTTTCAAATACTAGTATTCGAATAGGTGATATCACTTTTTGCCAGTAAATACCAAAACGGCGCCTATTAATAACCCAGATAGCAGGATGTTATTGGACCTTTGTTGGGCCAACAACGCTCCTTATGTTGGGCCACTGTTTGAATTCAACATTGGGCCATCGGTAATTTGCTCATCGGCCCTTAATCAAACCAACTTGTTGGCTTATTGTTGGGCCAATGTAACAGTTAATATTGGGCCACTGTTGGGCCAGTGTATTATTTCAATATTGGGCAAACGTCATTTTTGTACAATTGGGCCATTGTAAGCAACTAATGTTGGGCCAACGGTAATTTGCTCATCGGCCCTTAATCAAACCAACTTGTTGGCTTATTGTTGGGGCAATGTAACAGTTAATATTGGGCCACTGTTGGGCCAATGTATTTTTTCAATGTTGGGTAAACATCATTTTTGTACAGTTGGGCCATTGTAAGCAATTAATGTTGGGCCAACGGTAATTTGCTCATCGGCCCTTAATCAGACCAACTTGTTGGCTTATTGTTGGACCAACGAACGGATATCATTGAGCCATTGTTGGGCCACTTATTCTTTCAATATTAGGAAAACATCATTTTTGGGCCAACGTTGGTTTGGATCTTATTGGCTCTCCATCATGACAACTCATTTGCTCTTCACTGGTTGGCCATTTGTCCTCAAAATTGAAAAACAAATATATACAATAAGGTTATACTAGTTTTGTAGTACAGTTTAATGGTAAAATAGCCCTTTAATACTATCTTGTATGCTATATATGCTAGATTAATAGTTTAATACATATTCTCAATATCTCATAGAATTGCCATCAACAAGTATTGCATTGTAAGTAGCTCTACATTAATCAAATAACTGAGGAAAAAGAAATCAAAATATAAAATTAAGTTATAACATACTATAATTTTATTGCTCAGTGCATGAAGAAAACATTAATAAAGAATTAAAAGTCGATGCTCACTTCAAGCGATACATATAGGGTTACATGACTGTATACTCCCTCTCTGATGTAAATTATACACAAGTTCAGTAAATTACAGGTATCAATAAGCACGTCTAACAAATAAACAAAGCCCCCCTGTTCTTAAAATAATACTAAAATGAATCCCGTCATTTTGTTTACTTACACAAAAAATGTTTCTGGCATCTGCATCGTGTTTATAACCGACAAACAGACACAAAAAAAGGGTAGAACTACAGGTATGTCACAGTATATTACAGAAAAAAGTTAGGCACTGCCACTTTCCATCTGATCCCTCTCTTAAGTCTCCTCTTCTCTCTCCCGAGTCTCCTCCTCCCCCTTCTTTTCTTCTCTGTCCGTTTCTTCCTCCCTTATCCCTGTCCTTAGCATACCTTAGCCATTCTTTGATTGTGTTCTCCATGTCTTTTTAGAATCTCCAGTAACACTAAAATTGTAATATTTGGTACTTAATACATTTGTTACTTTTCTCAGTAAAGAGTAAACATACGATTAAATTTACAAGTATATCACTATATGTTTAAGCTGTCATTTAAGGAACAACCGTCTTTTTTGTTTCACAGTGTGATTAAGTGATTAGCTTGCGTGATAAAGGCATTTATGCATGATATTTAAACGCTTGATAATCATCATCACAACAATTTTGATTCAATGTTGCCCCATATAAAATACATGTATTGAAAATTTGTGGTTACAATGAACAAATTTTAAATGAAAGAACCCAATTTATTCTTAGTACTGAATAAATTTTGTTTTAACTTCAGCAAGTTCATCATTTTTAAAATGTTTGATCATGTACTCGACGTTAAGTGTATATAAATAAATTAAGTTAGACTTCGGAAATGTATTCTACTATAGACACAAATTTCAATTTAAATAAGGAGCAAATTATTTATTGTTTTAACTGTATCAAAACACATTTTTATACTTTCATTTATTTTTCTTGTATAGAAACAAAAAATTTAATCACTGATAATTTATTTTGTTTTGATAAATTATAAGAATTTTAAATTTATTTTAGCTAGATTGATTTTTCAAGAAGGATTGGTTGTAGATTTATTTCTGATTGTAGAGACGATTGGATTTGTTAATATACAGATTTGTAACAATTAAATGTTTATACACATTGGCCCAATGTTGGTCCAAATATCGGGCCAACATTGGGCCAAGGAGCAAAATGACACTGGGCTAACGTCATTTGCCAACATCGGCCCAATGTTCTTGTTGACGTTTCACCAACAATGTCGCATTCATTGGGCCAATGTTGGCGCAACGTTGGGCCAATATCTGTAGAAATAACACTCTACATTGGGCCAACGTTGGTCCAACATATCGGGCCAACATTGGGCCGATGAGCAAACTTAAATTGGGTCAATGCCATTTGCCAACATTGGCCCGATGTAACCAATTACACTGGCCCAACTTTGGCCCAATGTTAGCATGCTATCTGTACAGTGTTGACCCAACAGCACCTGGCCTCTGCACTTCCCCGTGTCTGATTTACACAGATTTGTACATGATATCGTTTAAAAACTAAACGTTAATTCAGCTGTGCCGAGGCAAAAATATTATTAATACTTACAAAGGGGATGCAGATATGCAAAGTATCAGTCTCATTACGCTCGCTCGTGTCAGATTAAAAATGGCGCGGATATTACAAGTAGCCCGGCTGTTGTCTACCCATGATCCTCAGTCAGATTCATGGTATATTGGGCCAACGTAGGGCCGATGCCAATCCCCAAACAAATATTTTCTCTCATGATTATAGTTTTATGATATAATGCCAACAGTTAGCCCAACATTAGCGCACTATTATACATAACCAGCTATCAATATTCCATGTTGGGCCATTGTTGGCCCAATCAAGGTAACCCAACATAGATAATAGAACCATAATGTAAGACTGGGCCAACGGTGTTCCACTGTCTGGGTTATTACAAATAAATAAGCATATACACAATTCAAAAAATAGGATAAAACACTCTTTGGTGCTTGATCACTTAAGTGCAAAGTTAAAATGTTGAAAATATCATATCTAAACAAAAGCAGTCATCCAATGATAAGCATGGGCATAGAAAGTCCTTTTAATTATTTCAGAATGTGCCAACCTTGTCCCAACGTAAAGCTCAGCAGCTAATTATAAAATTAACACCATCAATTAGTTGAAAGTATAATAATTGGGCCAACGTTGGCCCAATATAAATATCCCATTTTTGAAAGACCTAAACAAAATAACACTTGTGTGTATTACAAACATTGTGCCAACGTTGGGCCAACATACTACTACCAACTTGATAAGGCACTTTCTTTAAGGGTGTATTACAAACAATGGGCCAACCTTGGGCCTACATACTACTACCAACTTGATAGGACACGTTCTTTAAGAGTGTATTACAAACAATGGACCAACGTTGGGCCAACATAATACTATCAACTTGATAGGACACGTTCTTTAAGGGTGTATTACAAACAATTGGCCAACGTTGGGCCAACATTGGGCCTACATACTACTACCAACTTGATAAGGCACTTTCTTTAAGGATGTATTACAAACATTGTGCCAACGTTGGGCCAATACACTACTACCAACTTGATAGGACACGTTCTTAAAGGGTGTATTACAAACAATGGGCCAACGTTGGGCCAACATAATACTACCAACTTGATAAGGCACTTTCTTTAAGGATGTATTACAAACATTGTGCCAACGTTGGGCCAACATACTACTACAAACTTGATAAGGCACTTTCTTTAAGGGTGTATTACAAACAATGGGCCAACGTTGGGCCAACATACTACTTCCAACTTGTAAATACAATGTACACTTTCTTTAAGGGTGTATTATAAACATTGGTCCAACGTTGGGCCAACACCATGATCCTTCCTTCTTTGGAAACTAAAGTGAATGGAAATTGCTTACGTTGGACCAACGTTAGGCCAACATAGGAATTCCGTCATGGTCGAGAAGGTTGACTTGGTAACATTGGTCCAACGTTGGCCCAACGTTGTTCCCCCAACGACAACCATACAACCTTTAACAAATGTTGGCCCAACATAGTCATGCTATCTGGGAATATACCGGGTATATTGACAATCTAAGAAAGGTTGATCATGCATATAAAAATTGAGTTAAAGAAGAGAGAGAGACTAATAGATGTTTCGGGGATATATAATTTTTTTTAAACAAGCGGTTTAATGTCAGATTTATTCCGGGATGTCCGGTGTACTTCGACGTCTTGGTTTCTGCAGACGTTGAGTTAGACCACGTGACTTGCGCTTCCCAAACTTGTTAGATTTTGCTGGCTTCGGCTCAAACACCTTCAACGAAACGCAATAAAATGATAATTCCCTCTAACCAACCATTATTTTGAGAAGGATTTTCCAAAAAGATGAAAAGCGCGCAACAGAGATAAAATAATTATTCCTTAGTATGATTACTTCATAAGAATGATTTTCATTTAGTATTATATAAAACCAATGTAACTTAATAATAATATATTAATACGCATGTCAGTGATAAATAGTTTCGTTTGTCGTACCGGAAGCTCGTAAATATCGTCTTCTTCATATTCTTCCGCGTCATCGGGCGTTGGAACTGGTATCGGTTTCCGATACCTGTCTTCGTGACTATTGTGTGGTTGTCCGTTGTCTATGCCAGTCATTTCCAAACCGTTCATTTTTTCGTCGGGGCTGAGACTATCTTCTATTTTTGAAAAAGGAAATTAAAATACTAGTATGTTAGAAAATGGGATTAAAAATTTTTGCCATCAGAATTTTTTTATCTCTCACCTTGTATAAAATTGTCATCCTGTAAAGGATCAACACCAAAGAAATTGGTGATTAGTTCCGGGAATCGGAGATCAAGGAACCAGATTACAGCGCCCAGAATAATACATAGAAGGCCTGAAAAGTTAAATAGTAATTGTTGCCATTACTTTTAGTTATAGAAAAAAACAGTAATACCTATTAATGCAAAAAAAAATTTAATGACATCATTTTGTTTTTTAACGTGTCAATCTCGATGAAATAAGGAGATCCAAAGTCACTTTAACAAAACAAATTGGGAACAGGGCAAAAATGGTTTTCTAACGTCATCAAAAGTTGGATCAAGTGCCATGAAGGAGCACCTTCACCCTGTTAAACGATCACACCCATCTTGTGTTTCTTGCCATGATTGGTAAAAGGGAAAACAGGCGTAGACAATTCAGTGTGCAATGGATTAGGTAAAAATTTGTATGAAAATCGTCTATCAGCATTCGACTGAATCATAGATTGTATTTGCTGACATATGACAATTTCTAAAATGATGTAAAACTGAAATGAATTACCTCTTCATGGAGAGTTTCGTAGATCGGAAAAAATTAATGGTCTCACAATAAGTAATCAAGTTGTACAAACCTGTAAACAAATTCAGGTAAAAAGATGCTCCAAAATGGAATTCTAACTTGTGTTCAGCGCTGAAAGGAATAAGTAATTCGAAGGGATTCCTAAGGGTGGCCCAGATAATGTTGGCTATAACCATTACTCCGCCGGTCAACATGAGGAAATACGCGCCATATTTCAAAAGAATGAAGAACAGGATTATTGTCAAAACCCAGAGAGGAAGAGCCAACCTGAAAATCAATAAAAATTCTCCTTAAATTGCTGAATTCTGTTTAAGCTAAAGGTACTGTGAGCAATGGGCTCAGTAAGTGATACCCCACCTCCCATATGTCATTATAGTGATAACAATGGCAAAGTCCATGTTTTGCTCTGGAAGACCCGAAATAAGTGTCAGAAAAAATTAAAAAGGAGATGCACAATGGCATTATGTTATAAAGAACCTGTGAAGACAAGTATCATTAAAATTTTTTTCAGTGGTATACGAGGAGTTGGGGATAAGAGATTGGTACCCCAAAGTGTAACGGGTGGACAGATGGACACTATACACACTCCCACTTTTCAAACGGGGGTATAATAAGCATTGGTTGCTTGGAGACAATACAGACTTATTAATATTTAACAATTACTTCAAAGGTTTGGAAAAATTAATTAAATTGGTCATAGTATAACAATCTCTACTTACCACATCATGATATGGGCGTACCATCCTGCTTGTCTGTAATGTCGCCCCCATCTGACCCCCTCCCCGTCAAATATAAAATACTCAGCAATCCAGATGATGGGAAAGGGAGTTCCTCGGAATTGACGGGCTCGAAACTCCTGGTTAAAACGCCCAGCTACAAAAATGTTTGAATTGGAATATTTATAGTGACAGCTAAATGTAGTTTAGAAACGATGGGGAAATATTTTCAATACATGTTTATACAACTTTATAACCATTAGAGGGGGTATTTCGATTGACTAGAGTTTTGCACGTTCATGTACTTTTCTGACATTTTTTTAAAAAAAATTTTAAACTTGATATGAACACTATACAGTTACTGACTTTTCGCTAAAAACTGAAAATGTTATTAATATATGTTCATTAATAATCCTTTAAAAATTATTTAAATCATCAATGTACTCCTAATCAAAGATATTATTTCCATGGCCTTAAATCCTTCATTAAGCCTATTCAATCCGCGAGGTTGTGGGCGGGACAACTATATACATGCACCAATATTTCTAATGATAAACTTAAGTTATATATACCAATATTACTTACAACTTACATGTATAACCGTTATATACCTTAACTTCTAGATACCTACCAAATATCCCGAAACCTAATCTGCCTTGCTCCCATCTCCAATCAAAATGTTCATTGTAGTTTATGGTTTCGTTAAAAGGACCTCGATTTTCTCCTTCAGCTTAATTAAAAAAAGAAATGCATATCCAGCTTTGAACTTGGGACATAGTCCCTACTTTACTCCTTAAACTTTTAATTAACATGGCAGTCGTTACAAGATACCATTATAAGTAAGTATATGCACGTACGGTATATACAGATGTATAATTGTGCTTTTACAGCAAAGTGTAAGTTCTATAATCTTCCGTGTTACACCTAGCGTGATGTTGCTTTCAAAGTACCTTGAAGCGCCTTAATAGTGTTTCATCTAGATACCACACAGATTTCAAACGATAGCTGTACCTTTCAGTGTTACATTGATCCCTCGGAGGCCCATATGTACGCCTATATCTGCGGTTATCTCCCCTGCTGATCCCGCTTTATACTTGGTCCTGACATTTTTGGCCTCTGCAACTTCCCACTCGTACCCAAAATTTGTCACTAGAATTAAGAATTTAAATCATTCGGAAGAATTGTAAAGTTTGTCACTTGAATTGTAAAATTAGTCCCAAGAATTATAGATTAGTAAAAAGAATTGCATGATACAAAATTTGTCACAGAATTGTAAAATTGGTTTCTAGAATTGTAAATTAAAGTCTCGAATTGTAAAGTTTGTTACTAGAAGTGTAAAGTTTGTTACTAGAATCGTAGAATTAGTCAATAGAATTGTAAAGTTAGTCAATAGAATTGTAAAGTTTGTTACCAGAAGTGTAAAGTTTGTTACTAGAATGGTAGAATTAGTCAATAGAATTGTAAATTTAGTCAATGGAATTGTAAAGTTAGTCAATAGAATTATACTATTGGATTGGATTGTAAAGTTTGCTATAGTATTAGAATTGTAAAGATAGATCACTAGAAATGTTAATTTTTTCAACAGAATTGTATGTAAAGATTGTAAAATAAGGCACTAGAATTGTACAGGTTGTCCCTAGAACTGTATAGTTAGGCACCAGATTTGTTAAGTATGCCATTAAAATTGTAAAGATGGTCTCTTTATTTGGAAAGTTTGTGACTAGAAATGTAGCTTTTTATTACTAGAATTGTAAAGTTGGGCCCCAGAATAGTAAAGTTGGTTGATAAAATCGAAAATTTATACGTTAATTTCTCCTATCCTATGTTAACTTCTTAGAAATGTAATTCAGGCATTTATCAACATTTTCTTATTTTATTTTATACATTTAGTAAGTGATTTTTTACATCTGATACTCAATTATTAAGTTACATAAATATAAAGCACCTAAGAATTGGAAATTATACTTACACATAATAACTCCACCAATGAATAATGTCACTGTTACACGTATGAACACGAAAAGTCTCTAAAATTGGTAAAATTAACCAATATCAAAAGAACTGTACATGTAGCAAATGGCAAAAGGCAAATTTGCCCAAAAAAAAAAATGTTTGAAAAAGGCAAATTTGCAACAAAAAAAAGTTAAAAAACATAAATGCAAGATTGTATTTATATATGGTTCAAATTATTTATTACATTTAATGAAATGATGATAAAAACAACGATTGGTTTCATAAATCAGATAACAAAACGGAGGCAAAAATAAAGACCCTTAAAAACACGGAGACGGGATCAGGTACTTTGTACGAGTAAACATCCCCCGCCGTAAGCCCTTTGTAATACTCAGGTGAACAGAGTAAACAATAGTCAAAATTAATGTGAAATCAATGTCCTATAACAATTGATATGAAATATTAAGTCAAATAACAACCAAAAGATAGGATGCGTTGGCATTTTTCTATCGAGCATAGAAATTGAAACACTCTGACTGACTTTAGAAGAAATTGTTGGAAACGCTGTTACATCAAATTGTTTTTCATTAGCCCGATTTATTTCAGATCTCGATAGTACCCATAAACTGCTCTTACATACAGAACCAATTGTGACACATAAACATCATTTGCAGGTGACATCATTATCAGACTTTGAATAAGGGAAATTGACACTGATAAAATGACCGATGGATCCAAAAGAAGGTTACAACAAAATTTCTCTTTTCTTAAAATTCTGTCTTGTTAAAGTTTTTGAATAATTCCCGCTTTATAAGGTTATTAAAACTATCAGAGTAGCACACTTAGCGCCGATCAAAATTCCAAAAAATTGTTAGAAGACTTTTTCTTCAAAGAATATATAAAAAGTGGCAGTCAATAAACATACGCATCTTTTTAATATCAATGTATGTAGACTTGGTTTTTATTTACAATGTACGAACATTTCTTGGTTATAGAAAAGTCCTACAGAACTAGCTTAGAAATATTGACTGTCCACTGTGCATTTTAAAATTTCTAATTTTTCGCAGGAGTTAAGAAAGTGTTCTTTAAACTTTGCATCAATGTTGTTATTCCTGTGTAACTTCTTGGTTATGAGGAGGTTTAAAATAAATATGAATCGCAAACTTTCTTCAGTTTTTATTTGAAGAATGATTTGAATTTTAAATATATTACAGGTTATGCTGAAAAGTTTAGCTTACATTTTTAGAGTAGAAACGAAGACATTGGCTGTCAATTAAAATTAAGATTTTTTTTTTTACCTCTTTGCCACGAATTCCAGGAAGGATGATGAAGAATGAAAAAGCTAATATCACAAAGGCGTAAATAAGTCCCGACTCCAGAATATCCGCCATAAAAGGCGTCTTGTCGGAGTCGTAATAGGTCGGGGCGCCATTGGACCGAAAGGCGTCAAAGATGCCAGGAGCAGACATTCGACAGCTAGCTATGTTCCCTTTAGTAAATAAAGAAGTGAAGTTGCTGAAGACGTACAGAACAGTTAAGTATTCACGGCATATATGAACTCGAGGGGTAATTTCTTCCAACCTTTTTCCACCTTCTTCCTTGTAATTTGTGCATTTGCTTTTGATGATGTTATACCTACAACTAAACAAAACTAAACTTAAAAGGTTAATGCATAACCAATGGATGACAGATCCGAAGCCCTAATTGATATCGAACACTTCTTTGTTGTTTTAAACCAATTAAAAATATCCTTTTACGAAATTTAATTCTATGGGGTTATTATTGCAATTCATTTTTGGTTACAACCCGTATCATAAATAATATCTTTTTGGTAAAAAGAAAAAAAAGGTTTATTTTGGCTGATAAAGGACTGTAAGGAGTATTCGCAGTCTGATTAAAAACAAACCCCTTCTTCTATTTTGTCAGTACGACGATAGGAGAAGGGGCTGGTTTTAATCGGACTGAATGGAAGAATATTTGCTAGGTCGGTGTACTAGTACTTTCATAACGTGTAGTGCATGCACCTATAAATCATCGGGATTTCAAACCATCGTACATGAAGCCTCACAGAATATTTTCAAATTGCGAACTGTTAATCTCTGATACATCAACTTATTTGTCAGTATTCTGAATGGGTTTAAATATGATTGTACTCAAAACATATGGAATAAGGCATATGATCAACAAATGCAGGTGATAGTGGTACATGATTACCGTTCAGTAATAAGAAGAATTGAAATGCAAGTTTGTCAGACAGAGGAGTTGTTACGTTTGCCATTATCGACTCTAGTCAACAAAACATTCGAATATAAAACAAATGTGGTAGACTCTGTTGTGTCATTTGTTCCATGCTCATGGGGATATATCGAGTCGACATATATATATGTAGCTGTTGTTAATTGATAAAACGAAACATAAATTTCATACATGTATACTTGTCTATAAGTGAAACTATAGGCTAGAAAGTAAGAGTTTTCTTCTTATCGTGTAGAAGTTTTGAATAATCTCTGCTTTATAAAAAAAAATATAAAACAGGTCGGATATTAATGGAGCTCAATGGTGTTCATGGCAATGTCAACATATTGTTGGAAGATCTTGTTTCTAGATTAAATAGATATTGTCATCAAGGAACTCAAGCAACTTTTATAGTAACTTTAGAATATTGTATGTAGATGCATTATACATGTAATTTTTAAGAAAGTAGTTTTATAGATGACCATTTACGAGATATAAGAATTTTGTAGTTCCGATTTTTTTAGCTCACCTGAGCCGAAGGCTCAAGTGAGCTTTTCTGATCACATTTTGTCCGTCGTCCGTCTAGCTGTCCGTCCGTCCGTCTGTCCGTCTGTAAACTTTTCACATTTTCGACTTCTTCTCAAGAACCACTGGGCCAATTTTGACCAAACTTGGTACAAAGCATCCTTGGGTAAAGGGAAATTTAAATTGTTAAAATGAAGGGACATATCCCCTCGCAAGGGGAGATAATCAAGAAAAGACAAAAATAGGGTGGGGTCATGAAAAAATCTTCTTCTCAAGAACCACTGGGCCAGTAAAGCTGAAACTTATGTGGAAGCATTCTGGTATAGTGTACATTCTAAATTGTTCAAATAATGACCCCCGGGGGAAGGGCGGGGCCACAATGGGGAATCAAAGTTTTATATAGAAATATATAGGAAAAATCTTTGAAAATCTTCTTCTCAAGAACCATGGGCCAGAAAAGCTGAAACTTATGTGGAAGCATCCTGGTATAGTGTAGATTCTAAATTGTTCAAATCATGACCCCCGGGGGAAGGGCGGGGCCACAATGGGGAATCAAAGTTTTATATAGAAATATGTAGGAAAAATCTTTGAAAATCTTCTTCTCAAGAACCAATGGGCCAGAAAAGCTGAAACTTATATGGAAGCATCCTGGTATAGTGTAGATTCTAAATTGTTCAAATCATGACCCCCGGGGGAAGGGCGGGGCCACAATGGGGAATCAAAGTTTTATATAGAAATATGTAGGAAAAATCTTTGAAAATCTTCTTCTCAAGAACCACTGGGCCAGAAAAGCTGAAACTTATATGGAAGCATCCTGGTATAATGTAGATTCTAAATTGTTCAAATCATGACCCCCGGGGGATGGGTGGGGCCACAATGGGGAATCAAAGTTTTACATAGAAATATATAGGAAAAATCTTTGAAAATCTTCTTCTCAAGAACCACTGGGCCAGAAAAGCTGAAACTTATGTGGAAGCATCCTGGTATAGTGTAGATTCCAAATTGTTCAATCATGACCCCCAGGGGAAGGGGGGGGCACAAGGGGGTATCAAAGTTTTATATAGAAATATATAGGAAAAATCTTTGAAAATCTTCTTCTCAAGAACCAATGGGCCAGAAAAGCTGAAACTTATATGGAAGCATCCTGGTATAGTGTAGATTCTAAACTGTTCAAATCATGACTCCCGGGGGAAGGGCGGGGCCACAATGGGGAATCAAAGTTTTACATAGAAATATATAGGAAAAATCTTTGAAAATCTTCTTCTCAAGAACCACTGGGCCAGAAAAGCTGAAACTTATGTGGAAGCATCCTGGTATAATGTAGATTCTACATTGTTCAAATCATGACCCCCGGGGGATGGGTGGGGCCACAATGGGGAATCAAAGTTTTACATAGAAATATATAGGAAAAATCTTTGAAAATCTTCTTCTCAAGAACCACTGGGCCAGAAAAGCTGAAACTTATGTGGAAGCATCCTGGTATAGTGTAGATTCCAAATTGTACAATCATGACCCCCAGGGGAAGGGGGGGGGCCACAATGGGGTATCAAAGTTTTATATAGAAATATATAGGAAAAATCTTTGAAAATCTTCTTCTCAAGAACCACTGGGCCAGAAAAGCTGAAACTTATATGGAAGCATCCTGATATAGTGTAGATTTTAAATTGTTCAAATAATGACACCCGGGGGAAGGGCGGGGCCACAATGGGGAATCAAAGTTTTATATAGAAATATATAGGAAAAATCTTTGAAAATCTTCTTCTCAACAACCACTGGGCCAGAAAAGCTGAAACTTATGTGGAAGCATTCTGGGGTAGTGTAAATTCTAAATTGTAGGAATCATGACCCCCGGGGGAAGGGCGGGGCCATTATAGGGAATCAAAGTTTTACATAGAAATATATAGGAAAAATCTTTGAAAATCTTCTTCTCAGGAACCACTGGGCCAGAAAAGCTGAAACATATGTGCCAATGGAAGGATCATGGGGTAGTGTAGATTTCAAAATGTCTAAATTATGATCAGTGGGGTAATGTGGGGATGCATTATGTATAACAAAAAGGGTGAAATCTGGTAAAGAACAGAATGGTCAAAGCTTCTCAGGTGAGCGATGTGGCCCATGGGCCTCTTGTTTAATTTGTAGAACCAGTTGGACATATCAAAAAGTCTCATCTTAATCTACAGTAATGCCGTTTATATATCATTGAAAATTCACAATTTGTATTTTACTTCATTTAGAAGAAAAAAATATGTTGTTTTTTTTTTTTTAATTTTCCTTTTAAAAAATTATGGAGATTTAAATTTGATTTACACTTTTAAAAATATTTTGTATTACAGTACGCATGAAGCTTCTCCTCAGAAGTTTTTTTTTTTGGGGGGGGGGGGGGGGGTTCATAAGAAAAGAATGGGACTTTGTGGAGCATTTTCTAGAACCTATCTCCTGCATTTGAATGACTGTATCCCTTCTTGTAAGTATAATTATGAAGGAAAGGAATACATTAACGGTAAAAAGACAGAAAGGTGAATTTAAAGAATTTCATCCTTTGATTGCCTTGAAGTTTGAATACGTCATTTTCTTTTAATAATTTTTTTTTACGTGAAATAGTTCGGTTTTTCTTTTCTCATTGACATTAGATGTATTTGTTAAGCTGTTTTAAAAGTTATTTTGAACAAAGATAAAATTGCTTACAATTATAACTTCCTACACTTGCTGATGAATTTCCTGTTGCAAAATAACTACTGAACCTTGGTCTCTCTATTGCTATCCTCTGTTACACGAACTTTGTAGAAAAAATGTCGAAACAAGGGATTTTTTTTATTTTTATTATTATTTTTTTTTATCTTTTATTATTTTTATTTATACAAATTCCTATTTCGAAGCTCGAGAAAATTTTTAGTGTGCTAAAACTACATCAATGTATATTAGATCCACACAAGAGTTGAGCTTTTATAACCAATGTCGCCCTGTTCTGTTATCATTAAAACCATGATGAGAAGTCTAAGGGGTCATTTATTTCATTATTTAAGAAAATATCAAAGAAGGGGTACCCACGGAGTGAAGGGCAGTGATACGTTGTATGAGAAATCATACAGGAAATGCCGTTATTTCTGCTATGTATTGTTTTGGATTCGTTCCTTGCAACGAAATGAACTAAATGTTTTATGTATTTTTATATTTGAACACACGATTTATCGAATTTTCTCACATGTCATGTTTATATTTGCAAAAACGGGGTAATGACCTGCACCCCCTTTACATTTGAAAGATAATATATCAACAAAATTTATAAAAGTAAGGTTTATTTTATAAAGAAAACGGCAAGAAAAACTTATACAATACAAAGTATATAAAATATTTTTACAGTTGATATACATTAAGTAAAATAAAATAAAGTGAATACTCTTCATGCATTTTAAATGATTCATATCTTTTTAATTTTTGGACAATGTAAGAACGAAATTAATACTTTAAGACGAATACAGAGTCGAAAAAAAATTTCCATGAATTTCAACAAAATCTTGTGTGTTAAGACGACATCTTGTAGATCGTGATTTTTACATTTTTAATTTCTAAAAAAAATATACAGACAAATAGAAAAGTATATCAAAACGTGAAATACGGACTATCATAAACGATCAAAATGAATGAAAATATACATAAATGCAGTTACATGTAAAACATTATATATACTTTATTATTAACATATGTCAAGTGAAACCAGTTCCTTACACAGGAAGCCCTTCTGTAAATTTTCATGGAGCTTAAAATTTTTAATGGCGGTATCCCATGTTGATATGTACATGATCTGGATTTCTAAAAATAGAGAAAAATAATTAATTAATTAGCAATAATATTTAACATCCTTTCAGTCGTTGGGTAGGTTTCATCTCGTAATTCGTTAACATTGTAAGTTCTATATACCAAATATATTAAATCAAATTCTCAAAGTGAATTAAATTTTGCTTAATATATAAACTCGAAATTTACAGATAAGAATTCTTCGATAAATAATTAAGAAAATAATTTTAAAAAAACGCTTAAGAATACATTGCACTTTGTCGGTTTTGACAATAGCATTTGATAGTACTATAATATAGGTGCATGTATATTTGATATAAGATCGGAGTAAAAATATATACTGTATATAGAATAAACATGCAGTACTATATGTACTATACTAGGTTTTGCCACTATAAATGTACTAAACATGAAAATTTCATGCCTACATTTAGCACCAATCTAACACAGGAATATATAAATAGTGGACAGTAACAGGAAATCAGTAGGATATGATTGGTACGAGGCGTCCGGGAAAATTGAGGCATGCTGTGAACGAAAGATATATGCACATGAAGAAAGAAACTTTTGGGGAAATGCAGGGATGAAGTAAAAAGAACATACGTTTAACTTGCATGACAAAATGGAATTATATTTATTTTCAAAAAAAGCTGGCATTCATGATGCCAATACATTAAGTAAAGAGGACACAAGTTCATGAAATGATTTATTAAAATACACCCCCCCCCCTCCTTAATAACACGTGAAAATATGATGTTTGAAACAAATCAATTTAATTTTGTTTATTTTAACATATACTGCAATATTTTGGTATGTTAAGAAACTTCTTCAAGATCGCACCAGAAGCCACGAAAACTGAACACAGGACACTGGTTATGAAAATTCTAGCTTTGAGAAAGGAAGAACCCTCTTAGACCCCCCTCCCCAGTACCCCCTCTCCCAAAAACTTGTTGATGGCCATGAAAACACATTACTCACACAAATGATTTATTCTTATTTAGTTACATGAATTTCAAATACCTTTTAAAAAGAATATTCCTGTTTTATGGGGAAAAAAATTCATCCAGTCAAGTAAAATCTTAACCTAAGATACATTTTGAACGAAATCCCCTTTCTGTTACTGAATGAATAAAAGAATAAATTTTAGCTAAGCAAGCATGCATTACATAGCAGACGAAGGGACATTGTTGTCAAAAACGCCGCTGAATTGCCTTGTATTGCTGTAAAGGTCCTCTTGGTCGTTGTCGTCTGGGACGGGAGGTGGCGCGCGACGTCGTGGTCTCTGCAGACGTTGCGTCAAACCACGTGATCTACGCTTCTCAAACTTGGCTGCTTTTGGTGCAGGAGGCTCGAATACCTTTAATCAGAAAAAAAACTTTTAAAAAGTAAGATGAAAACTTAAAACAAAAGTATTGGGGGCAATAGATTAGAGTGCATGCATCTGAAATAAAAGCAATAACCAAGATAGTACTGGTGAAAGATTTTTCAAGTAGCTTTAAAATTGAAAATGTGGTCAGCAATCAAAATCTAGTGTTGATTTTAATGATCAATTTCAAACAAATACAGAGTAGTGGTGTCCAAATCAATGCTTTAGCGTAGTTTTGTAGTCATTATAAAAAATGATATACAAATACTGTACGTACTGGAGGTTCGTATATTTCGTCATCATCGTCGTCATCATCTTCTGCCGCCGCTGCTTCAGAGGTTCGTGGCGGGCGGGTGACGCTGTGACTGCCATTCGGTTTTCCGTCCACAGGGGACATTTCCATGCCGTTCTTTTTCTCGATAGTATCAAAACTATCTCCTTCATCAAAGAGAAATTAAGATAAAAAGTGCAAAATTTACATTTTCATTACATAAGGGATTTACTAAATTCAGAGGATACCATTTAAAATCAAGAAAATTTTATGGAATAGATTTCAGAAGATAAATTCAGAGGATACCATTTAAAATCAAGAAAATTTATCGAACACTACCTTGTATAAAATTGTCGTCCTGCAGTGGGTCAACACCAAAGAAATTGGTGACTAGTTCTGGGAATCGGAGATCGAGAATCCAGATAATGACGCCCAACACAATGCATAATAAACCTAAAAATCATTTATTTTAATATGTTGTATATCAATATTAATTTAAAAAAGGAACAATGGCAACATTTCACTTTAAAGAATAATTCAAGAAAACTGTCCAAACCTGTGATCAAATTTAAATAAAAAGACGGTCCGAAATGAAATTCGAGCTTGTGTTCGGCACTAAACGGAATTAAAAGTTCGTTAACATTTCTTATGGTGGCCCAGAGAATATTGGCAATCACCATGACACCGCCGGTCAACATGAGGAAATACGCGCCATATTTCAAAAGAATGAAGAAAAGGATTATTGTCAGAACCCAGAGAGGAAGGGCCAACCTGAAAGATGAGGGTAACATTTAAATTAGTATGACTAGGGACAATGGTAATTTGGGAACAAAGAGTGATGATTTACAGGTAGTAAGTAATTTAAATTTGAAAAATATTATATTAAAATGAAGTAAAATATTTTAAAGTTTAATGCGTACTTACCACATCATGATATGGGCGTACCACCCTGCCTGTCTGTAATGTCGCCCCCATCTGATCCCCTCCCCGTCAAATATAAAGTACTCAGCAATCCAGATAATGGGAAGGGGGGTTCCCCTAAACTGAGCAGAGCGAAACTCTTGTTGAAAACGACCAGCTATAATGATGAAAAATAAAAAATATAGAAAAGTGGGTTTTTTGTCATGCATATTTTCGATATTGCAAAGATTTATGACAATAACAAAATGAATCTGCACACCTTTCTGATATTCATGTTATTTTACCGTTAGATGTTATACTTACAAAATATACCGAATCCTATTCTGCCCTGCTCCCATCTCCAGTCGAAGTGTTCGTTGTAGTTTATGGTCTCATTAAAAGGACCGCGGTTTTCGCCCTCAGCTGGAACCAAAATTTGAATTCAAAAATGCACATACAGCTTTTATAGTTAGTTAAAATTTATTATTTTAAAATACTTTAAGTTAGATTATATTAACTAAACACAGCAGATGGGTTTATGTTATATACTTCGATCCAAATAAAGCTGCTTAAACTGGGTGAGCTTTTATTCCTCAGGCCAAGCCAGTATTATATCTGGTAGAGCTTACACAAAGCAAGCTTTCCCAAAGGTGGAATGGGCTACTATTATAAAAATAACAACTGAAAAATCCTATTTCGGGGGTAGGGTAGATCTTTCTATAACTTATTTATCTATAACAACACAGTTATGCATTCACATTTTTGAAATAGAAATCATAACTGTAGTACATATTGAACGTAGTCACCCGCGAGGCGCAGTGGTTTGAGTGTCTTGAATTTATCCTTGTGTCTCGGGTTCGAATCCACTACGGGACGTGGAGACCGGTCCTTCGGATGAGACCGTATAAACTGCGGTCCCATGGACAACCGCAATAGGTGTTGTCACGAAAAAGATCCCTCACTGCCCAATGGCCCAAAGTGCCGAGAGTAAGTAAAAATTTGCAGCCCTCAGCCGGTGAATGGTGGTGTCTCCATATGAATGAAAACTTTTCGAGAGGGACGTTAATCAAACAACAAACAAACAAAACACACACATTACTCATTGATATAATGGGAGCCTGGATCAGATGACATTGGAGTAATCACCTTTCAGTGTTACATTGATCCCTCGGAGACCCATGTATACGGCGATATCTGCGGTAATCTCCCCTGCTGATCCCGCTTTATACTTGGTCCTTACGTTTTTGGCCTCGGCGACTTCCCATTCATATCCAAAGTTAGTCACTAGAATTGGAAAGGTTGTCATTAGAATTGTAAAGTAAATAACTGGAATTGTAAAGTTAATAACTAGAATAATTGTAAAATTTAAATACAGAATTGTGAAGTGTGCCTCAAATTTTAAAGTCAGTCTCTAAAATTGTGAA